CCCACCAATAACGTAGCTCCATTTTCTGCCTTTAAAAGCACACACAACCCACAATTCCTCTATTCGCTCCGACGAAGGGCTAACGCTCAAAACGTCAGCTTTTGTAATCATTACGGTGGCCAATTTACCATTTCAACTTTGTTGATATATCCACAGAGAAGTTGGATATGCACAATTCCCGAGATCTCAGCATGGCTTGTCAGGTCACATGATGTGATCAATACACTAAAACAGGGTTGGGGCAGGAGACGTTCATTTCCCACACACGAGATTACTGTGTGATGGATGTCCTCCCCTGGGGTGGAATGGGTGGGTTAGGACAGCAGGTCCACATCAGCTATTACAGCTGCCAATTAATCAACCTGCTTAAACAAATAAATGAACAACAACACTTTAGAGGTGCCCAGCACATTTGTGAGCTCAGAGAAGAATTCGTGGCCATTTTAAATTCAGATAGTTGGGAGATGAACATAGTGTGAGCAAATAGCATAAATGTGTACCAAAAAGTGGTCTCACCATGTATAGCTAGCTCAACTTCATTTGTTCTCAGTTTCAATGTAATTTTACGTTCAGTCGAGTCTTTACAAGAATGGTTTGCTTACTTACAACACACTCATTTTATCTTGTCATCAAGGCTTCTTAGCATGAATTTAACCGTGTGCTGTGGTTTCTCTCTTACGGATTCCACCGCTACATAACTGGTGCCCGATATTTGGACAACTTAGTTCCGTAGAGAGAATTACGAGCTTCGTAGCAATCTGGTTAATTGTTTTGTCGTGCAGTCAAATGGTACTTTCAAGCGACGAGAAATGTGCTATCGAGAGGGACCGCGTAGTTAAACTAGTCAAGGAAGCAGGAACAACACTCTCATTCGAGGATGTGTCGAAAATTTACGTCGAGAAGTTCAAGAGTGACCTCATACAATGGAAAGACGAATTTACAAACTTTGGAGCTTTTCTGAAGTATGGCGCCGGCCAGGATGTTGTTGTTGTTAGGGATAATTCTGTTTCGTTATGTTCCTCGGCGGCCTCAAAGGCAGGCACAAGTTCATTACCTGTCCAGTATTTTTCAAAACCGCAGTTCTCGCCATTCTTCGGGTTCTCCGAAGGAGAACAAAAGCATAAAGGAATGGACAATCGCATTTGGCGGTATGCAGTGGAAAGCGCCGTTTCGGCTGGATTGCATTCGGAAGCAGTGATTGTGGAACAAATTCGTCGCTCGCTTCAGGGTGAGGCTAAATTGAAAATGGTCGGTTTTGCCTCGGAAGCGTCCGTTTCTTCTATTTTAAAGCTAATGGACCAATTTTACAGCGAAGAAGGAGCAGCTACGGGAGGTGAGATGCTCACCCGTGCCTACGCGATGAAACAGGGTGAATTGGAAGAAGTGTCCGCCTTCGCGTCGCGACTTGACAATCAGCTGAGGAAAGCCAAGGAAAAGGGAACGGAATTACTTCCTGATGACACCGCATTGGACCAACATCTAAGATTACTGTTTTGGGAGGGTCTGAAATCTTCAATGAAAGATAAGGCGCGGCACAAAAAAAGTGAATGCAAGACGTCCGGTGAACTTATTTCCGCCGCTCGATATGGAGAGCGAGAAGTTGATTTATCGCCTATGCCCAAACGAGTTGTCAAGTACCAGTAGGCGACAGCAGAAGAGGAGAAAGCACCTAAGTGGGCGAGCGAATTTTGTGTTACTATGTCCAGGGAGGTAAAGTCTACCCTTGCCTCTAAACCCACTCCACTTGCCGAGCTGAAGCCTTTTAGATAACAGAGTAGAGGTCCGCAGGGAGACCAGTACAGCCCTCCTACGTGCTACAGGTGTGGCCAAGTCGGACACACTCAGCGAGGCTGCCGAAACATCGCCATCGGGAAACGCCAACCCGTCCCTGACACGGGGCTATCAGGGACGAACAAACAGGAGGCCAGGCCCCAGAGACAACCTGAGTGGGAGCCAAAGTCATTGATTGGAACTGCAAACGAGTGTGTTGCTGCAGTTAACGGTCGAGCATGTTTAGCACTTTTGGACACTGGAAGTCAAATCACTTCGATATCAAAATCATTTTATAAGAAACATTTGAGTGACTGTGTTATACACCCGGTGGATTCGTTGTTACGCGTGGTGGGAGCCGCAGGCCAAGATGTACCATTCCTTGGATATGTGGATGTTGAAGTTGAATTTCCGGAGGAAGAGGCTGGTCTGTGTAGTAGTGTACAGGCCCTCAGCTTGGTAGTACCAGACAATGAGTACAACCAACGAGTACCACTCGTAGTTGGCACGAACATTGTGAGAGAATGCAAAGACCGTTGTGAGGAGCTGGGAGGTGCTAGTTTTCTGCAAATGATACACACCTCATCTTCATGGAAAAGGGCCTATCAATCCATGCGAGTGCGAGAGCGTCTTGCGAGTGGCCACCAAAAAATTTCGACAAAGAGCCAAGCACTAACAGTGGGAGCCCATAAGCGGGTAGTCGTGTGGTGTCAGACACTTGCAGCTCCAGAACGTCCCTCTAAAGCTGTTATCGAGCCTTGCGAAGTCCTAGAATCTCATATATCGGTGACACCAGGGCTGGTTATTTTGGGGTCCGGCTGCAAAAGGTGTTTTGGCCCAGTGGAAGTTACCAACATGTCAGACAAACCAGTGACACTGCCTCCGAAGACTGCGCTAGCTAGTATACATCTGGCGTCCACGGTCCTCGACAAGTTCGATCGGGACGAGACTCGTGTTGACAAAGACATCGTCTACTCCAAGCCAAGGGTGGACATGAGTGGGATTGATTGTAATGAAGAGGAACTGACTGAAGCCCAAAGAAACGAAGTGAACGGGTTGTTAAAGCGTATGTCCTATGTTTTTTCAGGCGGTGACCGGGACCTTGGTTGTGCAAATGGTGTGGAGCATGAGATCCATTTAACAGAGGACTTGCCCTAGGTGTAGGTAAAAAACTGCATGTTTTGGTCGGAATGTGAAATTGGGTCAGGAGTTGAAAAACCAAGAGCCAAGAATAACGAGAAGTAACGTCCCACTTCCTCAAGGAAAACTTGAATGACGTGTCTTAGGCAAACAAACTTGGAGGCTACTAATGTTTGGATAATACTATGGACTGAATACACGACATTTTGTTTACATCTCATTCAATCCCTGAACGGCGCCCATTTTCTTATTACTCGTCCTGAAAAGAATGCTGACATGGTGGAGCCCAGTAGCTCTATATTCTACAGTAGTTCTAATAAATTTCTTTCAGGTAACCGTAACAAGTTGGTAACCGAAATGGTTCTCCGTTGCTGCTATCTCGGTATTAAACTTTACTTTGCTATGCACCTCCCAATTAGCTGAGCAGCGAGCTTGGAAAAATACTTTCTGCACTCGTTTGGTCTACATGTATAGCAAAAACAATGTCATCGCGTAATTTACACTTAAAGCTTCGTGACAAAATTTAGACTTAAGTACAATTTTCTTTATTTCATGGCTCACTTTAGAGTCCCTGTAGCTCAAAGGTAGAGCATCGAATATCTTGAATTTAAAATTTTGTTGGTCAGTTAAAAAAAAAAAATAACTTCTTTCTCTATTTCAGACATAATACATACATAGGTTAGTTGACCACTCCCCATGGGGGCTTTTCAGGGCCAGTTCCCACCCATCCCACCCCGGGAGAGGACATCCACTACACAGTGATCTCGTGACTGGGAAATTAACGTCTCCTACCCCTAACCCTCCAGGAGACAGGGCCAACGGTTTATTCGTTCTTATCCGAGAAGACTAGAATATCTATCCATTTCTTGATTATAGAAAGGTAGCCAGGAGCCCATCACTTGGGCTTGTTCAGAATGTTTTGTTTGCATTGCGTGACAGCTCATGACGAGAGTGACTTGGCGGCCTCGCCTTATTCAGATTAGTTTACCATCTGCAGAACGTTTCGGTGACGTTCTTTGTTTTTTTGTTGTCGCAAGAAGCGAGTGAATTGTTTTGCATTAAAATCGGAATTTCAGAGACCTTGTGTGAGTTAATTTGGTGTCACAGAAAACGTTTTCCACAGGCTCCTGGGTAGCAAATTCTCCTCACTTGTTTTAAGACCATGAGTAGTGGTCCGGCCGGGGCATAATGTTTCCTTGCCAGGAAAGGAAAAAGAAAAAGTAGTTATCTGGATTTAATCCTAATCGATTGGATTCCTGGTACAGTAATTATTATTTAGTGTGATCTGCTGCAGGCGATGACGTGAAAAAACAAACAACTATCAGTTTGATCTCAGCATAGTCTCCCCGCAGCCGTGATGTTTCGGTCACGCAACGCTCCCTCACCGAAACATCACGACTGCAGGGAGACTAATCTCAGCACAACCTGGCGGAAAACCACATTGTTGATGTGATTACGTAAGCGGTCTGAGCGTCTACCATGGGGGTCGATAATTTTCCGTACGGTATTGCGTATAATGGATAATAATTGAAATTAAAATGCTCGCGTTTGAGTTAACCGTGTTCTGATGATCCAGAAATTCCGTTGAATTTCAAGTGCTCAGAAGTCTTTATTTGGTTTTCCAGACCTTTTCCAATTCCTGAGACTCAGTACTTTTACTGTTCTGCATCAAGTATTTTTCCAGGAGTCTGGGTACGAGTGTGTGTGTTGTGAATAAAATGAATGTGTCGGCTAAAAGTTATATCACTTCACCGTCGCTTTTTCAACATTCTGTGCGCGCCAACCGATAATCAGGGGTAAACCTACACGATATTTAACTACAATGGTAATCCAGCAAGCGAAACAAGTGTGGAAAAAGGCGGACGCTGTCTGTTTTGATGTAGATAGTACAGTCATAACGGACGAGGGCATCGATGAACTTGCCGCATTTTGCGGAAAAGGGAAAGAAGTATCACAATGGTAAGTTGTCGTGTTATTATTTTAATTTATCAGAACTTCTCTTCGAGAGTTACTTGTTGAAAGGAAAACGTGTAGGTCCCTAATATATCAATGATGTTTAATTTTAATCGGGATGATGTAACAAAACTGCAAACTGTATTTACATAAATTGTGATCCAACCGCCGGCAAGAAATAGGAGCGCCAAAATCCACATTTCGCCCCTAATTTTAGTCACTTCATATCATAAGTAGTGGAGTTTTAATTGTAGTACTCACAAAAAATATTTTTATTTTAATCAGAAACATCTTTTGGGGGAGATTCATGAATTTACTTTGACATTGCGCTGTCAACTGAGTATCATCATCTTCCACAATGAGTCAATCGACGAGATCTTCATACTAAAACCTTTGAAAATATTGCTAATCTTGATGAAGTGTGGTTGAATCCCAACTTATTCCCTTCATTTTACTGTAGAGGTAAAATCGCTCGTTAGTGAGGTTCATGTCGGCCGTGTCCCATCGCTGGGCAAACCCAGCACGCTTTGTTCACGTGTGTCTGTCACACGAGTAAGCGTAACACAATGTTTTACTTGATCATGTGGTTACCGACCTTTGGACATTGTGATATAAATTCACACCAGGCCACTTGCTCCACAAATGAGAAACCTTGGGGTATTTTTTGTCATAGTAAAATATATGAGAGCATTTAATATATTGCTCTATTAGTTTATTTTTCAAATACATACAGGGCTTTCTTGGCTGATGCCTGTTTTTTCCAGAGTGTTCTCTTGGAAAAATATTCACCTAGTTTCTAGAAAAGTAATTTTTTATCAACGAATTCTAAATTTGCCTCTATTTTGTCTTGCTTTTTTTGTACTAATTTTATTTCCACAGCACTTATGAAAATGTTACTTTAACTGACAGTTTTGGAATAACCAATCTGAATGGGTATATTTTTCAGACATTTTCTGATGTATTTAAATTTTTTGTGATGTTAAAAACCATCCATGATAATTTCTATTATGCAGTTCAAGTTATTTGTTGCTATATTTTTTGAGGGAAATGTGACAGTGAAGAATTTTTGATGGTCAGAGTTGGAGTCTTTGTCTTTAATCAGAACCTGTAAAAAAATATAATTCAATTAAATGATCAGCTTACTTGACCACTTGTTGACAAATATTAATCAGTGTATTCGTTGTGACCATGGCAAAATGTTCACCTGACAAACAGCCCAGATCAAAATCATATTTCTCTGTAACCCTTGCATTGTTTGTCTTTGTGCCATGAATTTGCTGTGGTATTTAAGTTCTAAACTTCTCCAAGGCTGTGCTCTAAGGAAAATTGAATGGAGCCCAGTGCTTTAAAACTGTGAAATCCAGGGTGACCAGCGTATGCTTTGTATGAAAAAACTAAAACTCCTGAGTCGCCCAAGAGCAAAAGTAAGGTGCCAGGGGCCACTGGGCCCTGCTAGAGCACAGCCTTGTTCTCCTTAACTTAAAATAATTTATTTATGACCTTGGCTATTTATTGAAATGCCTACAAATGAAAACGCTAGACTAATGTCTCCTTTTCAAATAGAATTAAATGTATGTGGCATTAACCTTCCATTTTTTAGTGCATTCAGTAACAAACAGCTTTTTCAGTGTCTTGAACCTTTGTGTGGGTTATGTTTTTCACTGTTGAAGATAACAGATCTCTGATACATAGTTTTGATGGTAATCCCTTTGCAGGACTACTAGAGCAATGGGAGGGGGTATTTCATTCAGAACAGCACTTAGGGAGAGACTGGGAATTATCGGTGCAACAAGAGAGAAGGTTTGTCCAACTTGTTTAGCTGTGGAAAAAGAAAACAAGCGAAATCAGTTAAAATTCCTTATGAAACTGACAAGAAGTAGGTTTTTCCATTTCTCACTTAACCTAAATTTTAGAATTCTTTATTTGTATTCTTTGGTAATCTTAGCCAACCTAACCCATGATCATTTCTTTTTGATGTATTTTCTCCCTAGCAAGGGAATTTCTGTGGTTAATTGCTGTTTTCTTTACTGCGATTTTCCACATCAGTAGTGGCTTTTAATACTGTGAAGTAGTTCCTTCTTATATCTGTTCTATGAACCTTGAAATACAGGATTGATCTAACATAGTTATTTTTTTCAGCTTCATAAGTTTATAGAGAGAAGTCCTGTCCATCTCACACCAGGAATAAGGTATGGTTATGGTTTTTATTAGGATAATTTTCATTAGGTGCCTCTTTGTTTGGAGGATTAATGATGATGTGAATGTATTTGACTGTTGACTCTCTGGTTTTGCATCCAAAGTTAACTCTGTAACTAATCAAAAACGGAATTGATTAAATTTCAGGGAACTAGTGAAGAGGCTTCAGGAACGAGGCACTGCAGTTTACCTTGTATCAGGTGGATTTAGAAGAGTTATTCAGGGTGCTGCAGAACAGCTTAATATACCTGATGAAAATGTATTTGCTAATAGACTGCAGTTTGATGATGAAGGTAATGTTTTGTTCTTTATTTTTTTCTTTTCCTTAATTGGTGATTTTACTTTGCTCTTGACCTTTTATCTCCAGCTTTGTGGTTAAAATGTAATGTTACAATGTACATTTATATCAGCCTGCCAAACTATTTATCATGGGCTACCCTTCATTCCTTGGCATTTGGTAAAGTTTTCTTGACATTTACTTTGCCAGTACTCATTTGCACTCCTGGATGGAAAGACGCACTGAGATAGTGAAGTGATTTGCTGCAAAGTACAGGGCTCTAACCATACTTCTGGGGCGGATCCAGGATTTAGTCAAGGGGGCTTAGGAAAATTGTCTGAGGGCATGCTCCCCCGGGAGATTTTGAAAATTAGGTCTTCAGAAACATGATTTCCTGTATTTTGAGGGGAAATTTAGGGGGTTCGACTGAACCATCCCTGGATCTGCCATAGTACTTTTAGATGTAGAATCATATCCCGACCTCAGCATTTTCATGCCTCACATTCTTTTTAGGAGTAAAGGGTTTACTATCCCATCTGGGGACCTGGATATTCTTATTACATCTGATTATTTCATCTTTACAAGGGTTTACTTAAGTTGAAATTTTCTTTTTTTGTTGTTGTCTTTGACACAAAGGATCTATATTCCCTTTTTCTAGGGCATTACTGTGGCTTTGATGAAAATGAGCTCACCTCAGACTCTGGAGGGAAGACCAAGGTTCTGCAGCTTTTGAAAGAAAAGCATAGATACAAAAGGTAAAAATATTAGATGTGAACAAGTACAGCTGTAGGTCTTTGTGTGAAACCTCTTCAAAACCAAATGCATTGGAGGCCAGAGTGGGACAAAAAATATTTGAGAAGGTCAAGTAGATGTTGAAAAGGTTGAGCTAAGTTTGGGAGACCCAAGTAGAGACAGTGACTGAGTCAGTCACTTAAGATACTTGTACAATGGTTGTAGATGGTGTTAAGTAGCTGTTGATGAACTTTTGCAATAAAACCAAGGCAGATAAGTTCCAACTAAATTAAACCAAATGTAAAGAACTCAGGATAGACTTTTCAAAATCAGACAAAGAATTCAATCCAATCAATGTAAATAATACGCATCTCGAGATAGTCAACCATGCCAAACTCCTAGGACTTAACCTAAGTAGTGATCTTAAGTGGAACATCTGTATCTCCGAAATTGTAAAGAAAACAGCATTCAGGCTGTATTTTCTGAGACAACTCAAACGATCCAAAGTAGCAAGCAAAGAGCTGACCCAATTTTATATAATATGTATAAGACCTGTAACTAAGTTCGCCTGTCGAGTTTATCACAATAGCCTTCCTAATTATCTTAACAATGACCTTGAATGACTCTAGAAACATGCAATGCGCATTATCTATCCAGAGCACAGTTACGCCGAAGCACTTAATGAAGCTGGCCTCCAACCACTCTCTGAAAGGCGTCAAGTTATTATGTCAAAGTTCTTAGAACGGATTGCTGCCAAAAATAATCATAGACTCCACCCTCTTCTCCCAGAATAGAAAACCTTGAACTATAATCTTAGGAGAAGTTTGAAGTTTGTACTACCCAAATGTAAAACGAGGCTTTGTCAATCCACTTTTATTAATTACAATTCAAGTTTTTATAATTCTTAATAGGCAGACATATGATGATTGTCTAGGATTGTCGATATTCATATTTTACATATTTATATATTCATATATTCATATATTTTTTCTTAGAAAATTTTAATTGTAAGCTATAGTGTATTTCAGTTTTTGACTGCAACTCTTTTGGCAAATAAACCATCTATCCTAAACCATCTATCTATGTATCCTTAATTCATATTACCTCCATGTCCCCTAAAGGACATGATGGAATGTCAGTTAACTTAGCATTAAAGATATGGAACTTTTAAGCAAGTAGGGAAGAAGTTCTATCAGATGATGATGATGATGATGAAACTTTATTAAGGTGTCTAAAGAAACCTCCTAGCTTAGGTTAGAAACCTGTGCTACTTAGGGGACACAACATAAATAAATATAAATTAGGGTAAAAATATTTAAATATAAGCGTAAGTATAAAAGATGTCAATATTTACAGTATGACAAATGTATCTATGAATTACAAAGATGACAGCACTCGCACCCATTATCCATTAGTGTAACTAAATCTGATGTATGTATTTTGTTTTTGAAACATTTTAAGGTGATAACTTCTCTCAAGTCTGGGCATAATTTTCCCCAGAGATTGGGCCCTAAATGGCAGAGGGAGTGTCTGCCATATGTTACCATATTGTACCTTGCAGCGGAGAAATCAAGCTGCCTTAGGTTATTGTTAGATCTATGCTTAATAAAAATGTCACTAATGTAGGAGGGACATAGATTGTTCTTGGCTTTAAAATTAAAATTAAAAAATTAAAATGCAAATGTCTTGTAATCTCCTGTTCTGCAAACTAGGAAGTTCTGCTCTTTTCAGAAGTTCAGGGTAGCTAGCATTGTTCCTAAAGACAGCACGCAGAACAAATCAGTTCTATTTTTGTCTCTAAAATTTTGTATAATCAAAGTTTGATCTGTTGGCTTTTAGTTTGGTTATGATTGGTGATGGGGCTACAGACCTAGAGACATTCCCATCTGCAGCTGTGAGTACAAGTTTGTTATTGTTTTGTCTTTATCAGATCTAGTATTATGTTGCAATTTAATTATTTGGAAGTCAAATTACTGTAGTAGTAGTAGTTTGTAAGCTGGATATGTATTACAGTAAATGGTTTGAACCCGGGGGTAACATGTGAAGGTGTAGTCTGATCGTCCGGGTGAGTGTAGTCCTGAGAAGGACTGTTGTCAGTGGTAGTGACTGACGTTTCGACAACCTGTGCGGAAGTCATCATCAGAGTCAAGTGAATGATTGTTGTCAGTAGAATGTTCTTATTCCAGTTCGTGTGAAATGATCGGTTGGTTTTGCCGTGATGTTATTGGCTGTAAGACTCAAGTGATGTAAGTCGGTCGTGATTGGTCTGTTTCGATCTGTCGGTAAAGTTAGGTCGTTCTTTTTCGGTCGTTTGTGATGTTTATGTCGTGAATGAGTCGTTTGTATGGAGCGGGTAGTTGTTGACATCTGTTTAGGGGAGTCTGTTCTAAGTTAGTAAACCAGCTTTCCAGAGTCAGTCGTTGAAAATAGTCAATGCTGTAGGTTAGGCATTGCGCAGAGTCCCAGTCAATGTTGTGGTTGGTAAGTCGATGGTGTTCAACAATGTGATTGCTGACATCACCTTTCCTCGTCACCCGTCTGTGTTCAGTCAGTCTTGTTCTGAGGCTTCTGCCAGTCTCACCGATGAAGGAGGCTTGGCAGTCGGAACAATTGATCTTATAAATCGTTCCCTGTCTGTTCCTCGGTTCGTCTTTGTCTTTAACGTTGGTTAGTAACTGACGTAGTGTGGTGATGGGTTTGTGGGCGACGCGGATATTGAAGCGGATTTTTTCAGACTTGCCTTTTATGTACGGTATGGTTGCTGTAGTCGTAGGGGTTGCGGTGTCGTTCGTTTCGGTAGTGGTAGTGGATGGGTGAGTGTTTCGTCGGATGAAGTCGTTGTTGTAGTTGTTCTTCGTAAAAACACGGTGAAGGTATTTGTTCTCGTCGGATTAGCTGTGTGTCGAGTCGCATACCAGTTGGGCGCGTCGTGTTAGAGTTCTGATAGTTGTGGCTTTGTGTGATGTAGGGTTGTAGACGAGTCATCCTACAACCCTATATCACACAAAACAGATGTCAACAACTACCCGCTCCATACAAACGACTCATTCACGACATAAACATCACAAACGACCGAAAAAGAACGACCTAACTTTACCGACAGATCGAAACAGACCAATCACGACCGACTTACGTCACTTGAGTCTTACAGCCAATAACATCACGGCAAAACCAACCGATCATTTCACACGAACTGGAATAAGAACATTCTACTAACAACAATCATTCACTTGACTCTGATGATGACTTCCGCACAGGTTGTCGAAACGTCAGTCACTACCACCGACAACAGTCCTTCTCAGGACTACACTCACCTGGACGATCATACTACACCTTCACATGGATATATAGTGTTATCATGAGGTAAATCATTGTCTTCTCGTTGAGAATAAGTAAATCACCGTGAACTAAGAACTGGAGGTCAATATCAACCTTTTTGAACAACTCTGATACGACAAATGATGTGAATTCTGTAATGTGCAATAGAGGAACATAACCTGGGTAAGGAATATTCATGGTCTGTTTTTAAATTACAGTCATGTTATGCTGATATGCATTCAACTTCTTAAACTTTACAGGACACATTTATAGGCTTTGGGGGTAATGTTGTGAGAGAAAAGGTGAAGGCACAGGCTCCATGGTATGTGACTGACTTCAAAGAGCTTTTAAAAGAGCTGAATCCAACTTCTCAAAGTGGAGTGATCGAAAAAGGAACTGAAAATCTACATGGAGCATCAGAACATCTACTGAATGGAGTGAATGGAGCAAGTGAACATCTAATCACTGGAGTAAATGGAAAACACTACATTTAAATGGAACAATACAGTGAACAAATCTATCAGGGACACAGCATTATTTATCGTTGAGACATTTTAATTATCTATGACAATCTTTTGCGCTAGCCATTGTGTGCTGAATTTTACATATTAATGATATAAATTATTATTTATTGACGATACAAACTAATTGAATCTCATGAAAGAGTTTTTAAATCTCGCAGAAAAGAAATTGAAGGAATTATTTTTAAGTCAAAACACGTGTTCAACAATTTTTAGCAGACATGGTGACTGCGCAGTCAATTAGCCAAGGAAAATCATTTTATAGTTTGAGGTCTCTTTAGAACACTGTTAGGGACCTTAAGCAACCACGAAGGCAACGGCAACGAGGACGTGGCGAAACAAAGGATCTAATTGGCACGTGCATTTTAAAACTTTCTACTTTTCTTAGCCGTTTTCTGCCAAACAACAACGTGAACATTTAAGTTGTCCGGAATGGAAACACCGACGGCAAATGATTGAAGTTTAAATTCGGAACTAACTTCGCTCACTTACGTGATGCCGAGGTTGAGGCGTGGCGCCACAAGAGACAGTAAATACATCCAGCCATTCACGAAATTCTTACTCTTAACCTAAATTCACTTTTTCGCCAGTGGTTTCTTGGTTTTGTTCTTTATTGGTCTTTTCGCCGTGGTTGTCCTCACTGCTTAAGGTCCCTATTGTCACGGCGGTACCACTCTGTTGAACATGAGGCAACATCGTCATTTATTCCAGCAAAGTATAATTCATTGTCTCTACCAATATGATGCTATTTTCGTGTGATACAGTAATTCACGGCAAATGTAAAGGTGTCTCTTTTTCAAGCTATTATATCTCTTTTATAAAAGATGTGATCAACCAATGTCGATACTCATTACCTCAACATGTACCAGAACATTCGATGAAATTGTACAATGACTACGCGCACAATACATGGCGTCAGCTTAAAGGAATTGCTTTGGGTGCAATTTGTCAGATTTTCGTCCACCCAAAATCAAAGTTATGGGAACAGCCTATGACAACTAAGAAAAATTACCGCAAGCGACCAGTGAGAACTCCAAGAGAAAGACAGTAGAATACGACTGACAAATCCTTAGTTGGGTATAGAGGTTTTGCACAGCAGCCATGTTGGATGGCAGGAACAATAGAAAAAAAATTCTTTTTTATGCAAAATATTTTCATTGTTCCTGCCATCCAACATGGCTGCTGTGCACAACCTCTATACCCTGTCACATCCGAGTGATTGAGGGGATGGTGTTGGCTTTGAACAAAGAAACCATAACAGAACAACGTAAAGCAAAATCGGGACTATCCCAGGAGATACATGTAACTCAGTGCCTTGAAAGCGAAGTTATTAATTAATTAAAGGGTATAGGAGAACGATCAGAATGACATCCTACCCCTGAACTGCGTTTGCGTAACGTTAGTCAGATGTTATGAATCACTGGTATATGGCAGAATCAGATTCCACTTCGGATACCACTATAGGTTCAAGAAAGACCATTGCAACTAAAGTCGTCAAAATACTACGGAGAACTGAAATGTCTATTTCGTAAAGTTTCTGACGGCGTTGATCTTTCTTCAATATTGAATACTTTCAGTTGAGGTACTATTTATGGTATTTTTTCTCCCTCATGGGCCGTTTGAAGCGTATATTTACAAAATTACTTTTGACTGGAGGCGGTTAAGAGTCGGGCTAGGAATAGAATGGAAGAAAGGTCTCCCTTTCTACTTTCAACGGCGTCCAGCAAAAAAGTAATTTCGTTGTTAGACGCTTTAAATGGCCCCTGAGGGCGAAAAAATATCACAAATGAGTCGATTAACATTTCATTCAACGTAATTTAGATGTTCAAACCGAAGTGTAATTTAGATGTGCAATGTTAAAGCTTTAGTCATAACCTTCATAGGTTCTGTATTTATTTTTTTGTCTCATGTCAATAAGTATTAACCACGAACACATGGTGCGGTCTGCCTATGATTTAATGAACGCGAATTATTGAAAAGTATTAAATTCGTCATCTAAGATAAAGCAAAAGCGTAAAGAATGTTAGAAAAATGTATATAGCATACAGCTCGAGCTTAAACCAACTGGGCCGGATTGTTCAAAGCTGGGTTAAGATAACCAAGGGTTAGTGTGAAATTTGATTTCAGATATGAAAGCTTTCAAAGAAAATTCAGCTTAATTCCATTTGTTAACAATGTTCTAAAAAGAATTGGGAAAACTATCCCAAAACGGCTTTTGATCAGAGAAATGTGGAAAGCTGGATAAAAATCTAACCCTGGGTTAGTGCTAATCAGCCTTCGAACAACTGGGCCCTGGAGTCTCTGAAATCTTGATCAGTTTTATCCAATACTCAAAAGGCGGAAAAATTCACCATGATTGGTTCAAAGTTCCAGGCGTCAGGATGTCCCATGGGCCTTTTCCAGCCCGACGTGCTCCATTTAAAGATAGGCTGCTGGTCGTGAGTGGGACCGCTGACCGCCATACACGACAACGTTTTGTTGAATAGTTCGTAACTAGTCACCTATATCGGTAAAGGGAAATTGCTGTCACGTCTTGGATTCACTGGAAAACGGTAAATTATTGTCTTCCAAACGAACTAAAACATAGTTTCTTACCGAAGCATAACTGATATGGCTCGAGTCATTTTAGCCCGATCCGCTAAGCGAGGGTTGAAATGACTCTCCAAAGGGTACAAAACATATTTATGCCCAAAAACATAAACTAACTGTATTACTATCATTATCACATTTAGAGGGCATATTTCCTCTTTCTTCAAATTCAGAAAAATTGACTCTAATCCGATGATAGTGCGGACATTTTCTGGAGGAATTCTTCAGCAAGGGGAGACCTGATCTTACCTTGCAGTCAGTACCACCGTGGTTTCTGTGGCCTAAAAAACCGAAAGGATAGGAACCATTTGCAGGATTGAGGTCGGAGCGGGCTGATATAGCATTTTCTGCACTGTACGGAGGTGAACAGGAGCACTTGGACAAAGGGTCGTCTTTGTAATTGTTATATCTGAAAAAATCACTACTGATATCAAACACAGACTACGATGTTTAAGGGAGCATCTTTATTGACTTGCAGAACGACACGCTGGTGCTAGAAAACAATAAACTAAATCGCTAAGGGTGCTGAGGAGCTCAAAACTGGCTGATCTTTAGTGCTATCTGAAAGTAGCCTCGATTTCCACAGCTCTCTCGGGTCCGGTCTTTCTAGTTTCTACCCGAGAAGAGACTCTTCGGGGAGGAGCGCGGGCTCCGGTTCCCGAGGAGCGGCTGGTAATCGAGCCTAATCTGAAAGTCGATACAATGAAGCAGCTAAGACTAGCCGATTAGGGGCATGTTTCTACGCCGGATAATTACCCATCATTACCGAGGGTGATCTTTGTACGATGATCCACACTTCTCAAAGAAATTACTCATACCAGGGCCTGTCCACTACTTTTTCGGGTGAGGGAGGAGCTAAGCAGTGCTGTCTTTACTGTATAGAACTTCGTTAGCCGTCGTTAAGGATAATAAACGCTTCTCCTTCGTAGCAACAGTCATATTTACAATGAAATTAGCCGGTAATCTTGACATTTTTTCTGTATGTAAAATCAACAGTGCGTGTATCGTTTTTATCTCAAAGAAGTCGATGGGCTCCTAACATACCTCATTAACTTTATGAAGCTAATCAAGTCGTTTACTTTTCCTTGGTCCCTTTTGAAGATTTGAGCTCTTGGGTTCAAATGATAATCGAACCACGGACCGTATTTCTTGACATTCTCTGGTTGGCCACTTAAGTTGTAGATTTTGGGGAAGTATCTGAGAAGGAAACAAAATGGATCTAAATGGGAACCAAGGCATTCATTTTTAGCTTTCTGTTTGAATTTTAGAGTCCTGCCATTTGACTGTTTGTACCACCGAGGTGGTAGAAGTATGGAAATTGCCTCTCGAGAAGGGCTCATCTTGAATCAGTAAACTACTGAGAAATTAAGAGCCGAGGCAGCGTGAAACTTCAAAATTTGAATTATTGAGTAAAACGTTTTAGTCACTTAAATAACCAAATCGTCAGATCAAAAGAGGATGATTAAATTTCGTTCAAAATAAAAGTTGTTGAATGTTTCCTTATCAAGGAAATATAATGTAAACATGTCTGTACGTCATAAAATTATATGACGTCTTAGATCAAATAAATCGGCGATAGATCACTTTGTACAACAGATGACATCCTTATGCCGACATTATCTGGGGTGGAAGTGGGGGGGGGGGGGTAGGGAACAGGTCAAGGAGCAAATGATACTAACGGCAGATTGTAGCTTGCCCAGTATCGTTCCTTCTCAAGAAATTCGGACATGTCCGACATTATGACAGTTCCTGGCAGTTGCTCAAGAATCCAGAATGTGTCGGGTACAAGCGGTTCATTCGGAACAAATTGTTTGTAGTTGACAACCATCCACTGAAAAACAAACAAACAAACAAACGAGCAAAATTAAACAAACAAACAAAAGATATTTGTATAGGTACGAGACAGTGACACCAAAAATGTGTAGCAACAAGCTGGAATTGGTCATAGCAAAGGAAAAATAACTATTTCTAGTACTCCTAGCGAGAGTTTTTGAACAAGAGACTTCAAACAGATTGATATAGTTCTCATCTCACCTATAGATTATGTAGGTTCAACTGAATTACTCTAAAAGTGGTCGTTTGATTGACTCGCTGACTTCAAATCCTATATACTTATGTCAAATTGGACTATGGCTCAGTTCATTGCTAGACTGAGTTCCAGGAAAACGTAGAAACTAAAATCACATGTATTACAAAAGAATACAGGATTTTCTCTGGAGTGGCAACGTTTCATGGATATTTAAGTGCCATTTGCAAAGGTAACTACGCCAACATCTTGAATTTGTTTTTTCATCTAACCTGGTTATTGTAGCTGAGAGGTTGTAAGTATTTCCGGTACAAAATAATCAATGGGAGAGATGAAAGTAAAGAAAGAAACATAATTAATCTTCCAATAATTTTATAGCAAGAGATACTGCAGTTGTAAAGGAGATCGTTTTCAATGAGCAGATCTATTTCAATGAAATGAAGCTCAAGGAAAATATTACGAATCCAAAGGTGCAGTTTAGTGAATGCTAATCACGTGTGAAGTCTTGAAGAGAGGATACAATAACAGTGTAAAATTAAGTATACTTAGAGTTTAATATTGCAGTGTGCTTACCGCAGGATTTGACTGGAATTTGGAGGGAGAAAAGCTTAAGTAACGTGGAGAACGTACCCTAGGGAATGGACGAGAACTAACTTAAAAAAAAAAAACCACCAAACCAGTATGTAACGCTAGACCTGGAAATCGAAACCGGGAAACTTAAGAAAGAGGGAGTGATCTTTATTATCGTGACACCCACCTCCCCCCACTTGACTTGTCATGAACGTGCAACCCTTGCACAGTAGCACATATTCAAACCTACGTTCCACTGTTATACTTAGAGAAAATCTCGACCCATTCCCGCGCCGTTGTGGCGAGGCGATTAGCCACCAGGTTCCTGATCCATTCTAAAACAGTGCCAACAGGTTGAACGTATTTCCACAAGGCTGGGTTATCGTTGTCTATGGTTGTCTCTTGTACTAACTAAGTTAAAAGAATAGAAAATGATGAGGATGATGATAATGATGATAATAATCATAATGTTGATTGTAATAGTGAAAAATCAAAGAGTAAGCGATTTGGGGCACAAGACAGTGAGGTCTGACTTCTCTCGCAAGGAAGGCTTTTTACTATCATCGGAAACTAATTCTAAGTAATTACCAATCCACTGTTGATCATGTAGAAGTCATCTCCACTCAGGAGCCTTCCTGGGTAGGAAGAAAAGCATTGTTTGACTCCTGGTACAACAGCAGGGAGATTGGCACCTAGAAAGATAAGGAGTTTTGTTTTAAATTGAATCAGGCTACAATGCATAAGCGACCAATTATAATTTATGGAGTGGGATTAGTCGTCACAGAGTATAAAGGGGGGCCAGTTGAAAATGAACTTGCAATGAGGGGCGGGAAAAAGTCTGAAACATGTTCGTAGCTTGTCAAACCATAAATAAAAGGGGCAAGTTTCTAGAGAAAATGTGGTGTTGCGTCGGTGAAATAGTAGAACAAGATAACTTGATTTTATGAACTGAGTTGATGGTGTAAATTGGTCACCGTAGAGAGTTTCTAAGCTGACGTTTCGAGTGTTAGCCCTCCGTGAGATTGAATGCTACTTGTTTTAGCCGAGCAAGTAGACATAGACACATTGTATAAACGAGTTCTTGTCGAGAATACCTGTGATGCTTTGACGATGAAATGGAAAATCATAAAACTTAAACAGACGTAGCATAGTGTTGTAAGGACCCCACGTGTCATGTGAAATCAGTAAATCCTTGTTACCAGGCAACAGCTTGACAAGTGCGGAGCATGAACCTGAGCCAAAACTTTTACTCTGAGTTTTTCGACCAAAGGCTTGTTCCAAACCATCCAAGTCACCAGCAACTTGCATCAAGCTGTAAGGGAATGACTTAAGATAAAGAACACAGTAAACAAACATAAAATATGGCGACTATCCTGTCATGGGTGAAACTATAGATTCAGTTGTGACAGCCGGTTGGTTTTCGGTGTGAAACGGGAATATAGATAGATTTATTTATGAATGGTCAGGAGCCCGTCAGTAATGGGTAACGGCTCCTGGAATTGTCTAGTATCCAGACTCCCCAGGATCGACCTCTCCAAAAGTTTTATAATACCAATTAACCGGGGAAATATACAACCTCACAATACAACCTGCCCAAAAAATGGAGTGTTCATATGATCTAAATGAGCAGCAGAAAAATCTTATAAATCAAGGGAGGGTAACCTATGATAGCATTAGCATCCCGTTTACGTAAAGTGGCCTATGGTAGCATTAGCACCCCATTAAGGTGAAGTAGCCTATGATAGCATTAGCATTCCATGTAGGTGAAGTTACCATGACCTTCCAAGACTGCTTAAGTCATTTCTTGGCAGAGAACCAGAATGAAACTGATTAATCCACTGCGATTAGAACGACCTCTTCGCACAGCTCAAAACAAGCGCATGAATCTATTTATTAATCTATTTTCCCACGACACTACGCTAAACAGGTCTTACAGGAAGCCGAAATCAGGAATGACAGCTCCTTCTGCTTTACTTTTTTTTTCTTTGTATCCCTCTTTCAGACCCTCAAGCTGCTCAAGAACAAGTTCGACCTCGAAAAAGAAAATGATAACTTAGATAATGTGCCTATTATGCACGCATTTGATTGGTTCTTAACTATGTTCTTTTGCAGGACAGATACATTGATGACGACACCATTAACAACATTTTGCTTCCTCACTGTATAAGGCAAATAGATTACATGTTGCCGGGGGCCTATTTAGTAATAGACCACAGAAGACGTCATAAAGTAAGGAGGTAGGAAAATCAGTGACACACTCGGCTGCACCTTGTGTGCCATTTTTGTTCTTACCACATTATGACATCATCTGTGATCCATTACTGAACAGTGGGGTGGCAACATGGAATCTTTTGATTAAATAAAATAAGAAGATAAAGAAAACTGTCTGACGCGATAACTGGAATTTCCGTGTTACATTATTTGCCAACGTTGTCGTTGTTTTTTGTGTGATGAAGATTTTCGTCACTAATGTACCCGCTGTCTTGTTCCATTTCTCTGTAAAGAGGTCAGCGAATGGTTTATGTAAGGTAGCTGTGTGCTCTTCCTCCATCAATCATTGGAAAAAGTTAGCGGCCAGTTCGTGGAGGTCATGTTTACGCTTAATCATTTGTGATGGAGAAAGTAAAAAAGGCAGTTTAAAGCTACAACCCTCGATAAAGATCTTTGGGTGACGTGAAAACCACTAAATGTATACAGCTGTTTCGAGAAAGGCTGTCGAAGAAAAGCCTAAATTGCACGCGACAATGAATGAATGAATAACTTTATTTAAAGAGGGAGACGCAATAACAGTTTTCTAACTCACATCCCTTAAAGGTATAGTGGGTAGTTTCCAGGTTAGGGTTCCTTGACCCCAGGATTTCAGGGAAATCTGAAAAAACGTCAAGGACGGGGAAGTTTGATGAAGTTTGATGAAGTTATGCTATTTATTTGATTATCTTCGAGAGTGTCGCGTGCACTGTTGTTCTTTCTTTTCGATTACCTATCTAGAAATAGCTGTATCTGATAACATACACAGATATTGAAACGGGGAAGGATGCCAAAATAAAGAATGTGCACCGAAACGTTTGTCCAAGATTGTCAGAGTTCAGAAGAGAAACATGATAATACGCTCTGAGGGTAGAGTAAATATCAAATGACACCAAATGATGATAACAGATTAAAATCTCCATCGTGAAATTGAGCTGTTTTGGAGTAATTACAGCACAAGATCACCAGTAACGTTTGCCTTTCTTCTTTGGTACCTGACTAGCAACCCGATCCTAAAAATGCTAGTAGGCTATTCTTCAACATAATCGATCTGTTTTATAGTAGGTGTTATTCTGTTTCAACTAGCTGCGTAAATTACTGTTATACCTGGTGCCAGTACTCATCTGTTGGGTTGTTTTGTATTTGAAATTTCATCCAAGACAGATTCTCTCCGAGGAATTGACCAAGAGAGAAGCAGAAGTCTGGGTCCTCCGTGCAGTAATCAGCCAAAGTGTTCTGCCAGTGCATGTCAATCAAATGTGACGTCATATGGCCCTCCAGCATGCCAACAACAAATGCTTGCTGGTTGTCCTGGTAGTCACCACTGGTTACTACTTGGAAGAACTCCCAGCTGTATTTCGGAAATGAACATGACATTCTTCTTACAACCCCTAACGTTTGCATTTTGAAGGGTTACCTCGAGGTGAGAAGGGTTTTGCATGAGTTTATTCAGAGGAGGGGATTTGCGTGACTGGAAGATAACTTACAGAGGAGTAAACATTGACGCGTGAATGGTTATGAATGTTATTTTCTGCATATATATTTATACAACGGATCTAATAACGATATCTTCTAAACCTAACTATATACAAAGCTTAGTATTGGAAAGTCTAAAATCGTTTTAGGGAACATTAAAAATGACTGAATACTAGAAAGGAATCGAGGATTTTGCAAGTCTGACACCCGACTCTTGATCACTGGACCTGAATATAAACGAACGTATGGTCGTGACCTCGAGAAAAACCTGCTTAGTTCCTTTTTTTCAAAGGAAAATTTTTCACTTAAACTGTATTGCAAAATGATATGAGTTGATAACTCAAAACCTTACGACCCCACGATTAAGGAAACATTTAACATCTATTGGTTGGATTTCAGTTGCAACTATGGCGCAGAGTGGGCAACTAGAACCTGTGGAATACTTCGGTTGTTAGTCTTACCCTGACTTTTGTATGCTCCCACTGAGCTTTCCTCTTGCAACTGGATCATCATAGTTTCCTTTCTGGATCAAAAACTTAGAAGAATATCCTCCATTCTCCAAGGTAGCTGAATATATCTCATCATCTCCGTATGCTGCATACACAAGCAACAGGAGAAGGGAACTAATTACTTTTTTCATCCAGNTCTTTGGAATTCGAAGATTATTTATTGTCAGCTGTAATTAGATGTTAAAGGCCCATTTCCATCCGAGATCCTTTGCAGTCGTTTGTTTTTGTTTTGGAATCGCGCTATTGTTAAATGGCGAACTCTGATAGTCATTCACAAACACTATTAAAAAGAAAAACAAAGATTTGGTGAAGAACACAGTAAACAAATTTGCAGCTAAATATTTGAGACTGAAAAATCATAAATCGAGTCTGTGTATAAAACTTGTACAAAGCTTACTTGATGTTGAAGGAAATTGTTCGGCTTCAACACTAAATAAAATATAAACAAATAACCAATATTGGCCAAAACTGATTTACTTTACGCATTTCAATTATAGAATAATGACTTGTACAAATGAGATCGCTTACATACATATCTCAGGATCTCAAGTAAAAATCAGTCAAATAATTATTCTCACCTCGAAAAAATCTTCCCGGAGTCTCTAGTTCCATCGTAGGAACAATGCAATAACATTTCTGCAAAAGCACTGTCTGTAGTGTTACCGAAATCCATGGTTGTTTTCCTTGCTCTCCGTAAATCATACACAGACTCTCGAAGTCGAATAAACTTTACCGAGCCGGGCAGACTCACCCTTCCTCTAGACCGCTTCTTCGGCGGCATCAACTTTTCAAATGACGTTTTTCACCGTCATACATTAAAATTAAAAACTATTTACTGATATGGATATGGATATGGATATGGATAGAATTAAAAACTATTTACTGATATGGATACTACGATAGTTTGTTGTTCGCACATGATTCAAGATGGAACTTTGAAAGCCCTAATTAGTAAGATTGAAGAAGATATCAAAGCGATTCCGCAACTATGAGGAAAATAGCGTATTTTTCATATATGAAAAATGATCCGGGCGCGCAAGGCATCTCGGTTGAAAATGGACCTTTAAAACATTTTTGTTTAAAAATAATTACTGTATTACTAATGACTCAGACTAGTTCACGGTAAAACTACTAAGGAATTAGTAAAAGTATGTACTCAGAATGTCCCTGACTCTTTTCAATTGTCACAGATCATGTCAATTCGTATTTTCACGAAGATTTGGGGACTTAAGGTTGGCTTAAGAAGAGCAAACATAGTTTGTGATGTTGAACTTACGAGAGCACGGTCTTCAACCACGGTCAGCAGTTTTGAACGGATACCCAGAGAGGAGCTGGTAACGAAGTTCAAGTCGAGGCTGCGAAATAGGCTCCACCGGTGTTGGTTTTCCGGAATTCCTCGCAGACCCCAGAGATACCTTCCCACTTTGTGTTCGAGTTAAGAACAGATACAGTTCCGCTCTGGGGGAGCTCACAATTTTATCCATGAAATACGTGAAGGAAAACTTTGCAAGCACTCCTGCAATATTATTTCGTGATCTGCCACAGAGGACTTCGCGATAATCGCTCAAGCCTCAGGAGAGCCAGATTTAAACTACCAGGGTGGTACAGCACTTCGCTCACAGATTGACCACAAAGCTGGCACTTACACAGCAAGCAACGAACCTAACTGCTACTCAGTGGAACTGCACAATGAAATGGCACATAATACAATTTATCCGTTCAAGGTAACCTGGATATGTAACCTGCATGTACTTTTATGTCGTCAGAAAATGGAGGTAATGTAACGGGATCATATCGGTTGATTTGTGGCGATAACCAAATGGATTCCGTCTAAACATTATTGTTGAAGAACAGCTTATAACTTGCTGTCAAGTTACTTTGACCTGTTTGTTTGTTTTTTTGGAACAGCATTTGTGTTCCACCATACGTCAGCTGGGGCTGCACCACTTTCTCGCTGATGGTCCGAAAAGAGCACCTCTCAATTCTATACATGAAAAATTTACTTATTCTCTTATGTCACAACTTTTACGGTAAAGGACGTTGCCTGCTAATAGGGATCCAGTTTTTTCTGGCTAATAAGTATGCAAGCAAAATAGAAGATTACCATGGCCGTAATGCGGCACAGCCGGTGTGTGCAGTAGCGATAACTGTCACCCTGGTTGAGTGTAGAGGGAAACGTTCTCTGGGCGATAAGTATTGGAACCAGTACTTTTTATTGATAAATATGAATCTGAACGTACCCTAAGGACGATGATTAATTTGAACCTCTGATCGACCACCCTATTAAATATCCTGAGATCACATTGTAACTAAATAGTCAAATTGAAGTGTATCTTTTCTTCTCAGGTGCTTTTTTCTGCTTAAAAGAACCTGATTTTGGATGCGGAGGTGAAACACCCTTAGCAAAGAGCAACGAAATTGTCTCCAAGCTGGATCCCAGGGTGGTAAGAAAGTTTGAAGAAAAGGATGTACGATACGTTCGGTTCCTGCCTGACAAATGCCATAGAGAGTACCTAAACTGGCAGCACGTGTTTAGAACCGACAATAATGAGGTATTTTTCGCTAACAAATGATTAACACAATTAAGAAAAGTCACACTGTCCCTCTTTCCCTTAAATAAAACAAGGATATCGCTATATTCCGATTATAGCTCTGGGAAAACTATTTTTGTAGTCTTCGAGGTTACCGAAGAAATTGTGGCTTTTCGTGAGCTTGGGTCCCCAGTTTCCACTCGCAGATGGAAACGTCATGCAAATCAAAATCTTTACAATTAGCCACCTGGTTGTATAGAAGGTCCACACCCAGGGCATCGTATCGTTAACAAAATTAACAGAAATGATAAACAAAGACAGTATAGAGGCGTGCCTTAATTTGGACAACATATTTGTTGACTTGTATCACAAAATTTCCAGGATGCAAAGGAACGAGCTACGAAACAAGGTTACAACTTCCGGTGGGATGCAGGAGATAGGCACTTATGGCAGAGCAAACCAGTTTTCGCTCGCCATCCGGTGACAGGTATCAAAACTTAGTTTAACCAGGTGTATAATCACAATAACACACATGAAAAAGCCATGCCAAGGCTTGCTGGCGCTGATATTCTAGTTGACAAAATGCCGCGACACATATTTACGGAGACGGAAGTGATATTGGACCTGAAGTGTTGCAACATATGCGTGCGACAGCTTGGGCATGCGCTGTTGGTTTCAAATGGTAGCGTGGTGATTGGTGATTTGTTAGTACTGGACAACGTGGTTGTTTTACATGGGCGGCTGGGGTTTCTTGGCGATGAAAGATCCTCGTATATTTAACCGCATGAGTGACTGTCAATTCTGTTTTTCTTTTTTTTCCTCGAATGAGGAAATTAGTCATTTTGTTGATGCTGCAAGAACACCAAAGAGAAATGTAAAGGGGTCACTTGCTAGGTTTGCTTTTAACCAATGACCTTCCAACTAATTGGATTAAGTCCTCGAAAGCAGCTTTTACTTGAGGGCCTTACGGCTAATCATTTTCCGCGAGTTTTCAGGTTGCATTTTTTGGATGGAGGCCTGTTCGAGATAGAGATTGCAGTTTAAATAGCATCACGCAGTTATGTGCAGTCATTACTAGGGACTGATACCACATGAATACAATCATGTGCTGGTGGGGAGTATAGTATGGAATTACCCACATTTGGCTCGGTTTATCTTTACTTAATATATGGAGGTTGATAATACGTAGGTTACTACAAAAAAACATAAGTTTGGGCATTCTTGCGAGGGGAATCCAGAACAAGTTAACTTTTTATTTCTATTACCCAGGGATTGTTTGACTCGACAGTCAGCTTCAAAACTCTAAATACCATCAACCTATCTCCAACATTCCTACTAATCCTTTTCAACCGCAAGAAGGCGTGTTCCATCATCTCTTAGAAAAGTTTTTGGCTAAAAAAAATAAGTAAGGTTGAATGTTCTTGGTTAAACAAGAAATTGAACGAAGGAATGCTGTGTTTTAAAAAAAAATCTGAACAGAGTCAGTTTAATCACAATATTATATTCAAAACTACATACTCCATAACAAATTAAACATGTTGCAAAAATACGGTAGTTGCCACGATAAATGCTTACAATCTCTAGTGCAGAACAATGTAATCGTCTAATTGTGAGTAGTTCTGAAAATGAATGTTTGCGATGACGGTAACTGACTTTGGGACAACTTATGCCGAAGTCATTAGCAGAGCTATGTGACATGACTGCCACCTACTGAGCCTTTTTCAGTCAAATAAGTTCTTTTCTGAACTCCTCTGATCGGGACCACATACCGCGCAATTGATTTAGAATTTCTCTTTCTTGACTACAGACAATAAGAAATACAGACAATACAGTAATAAGACAATACAGACAATAAGAAAAGTTCTTTTTCTTATTGTGGTATCAGGTTTCAGGAAAATAAAAACCACACACATACACAGGGATAATTCGAAGTAAAAAGTGGATCTCAATCGTCTGACAAATTGACATCCCAAGTGACAGTGATTGGTTCAAAGTCCCAAGCGTCAGGATGTCCCATGGGCCTTTTCCAACCAGACGTGCTCCATTTAAAGACAGGCTGCTGGTCATGCGTTGGGCCGCTGACTGCCATACACTGCAACGTCTTCACCATCTTTGAATTTGTTACCTGGAGGAAGCAAAAAGATGCGAAACCGAGTGGCTCGGTTGCTATTTAATGACAAAAGCCTTTAGGCACTCGCCAACACATGCAACACAAGGTGCAGGAATAATCTTGTATGACATAAGGCAACAATGATCGAAGCGTTTCGGTGTCATCAGTTATATTCCGTTACTCCAGTTTTGCATCATTACTTTCTGATTAATTCAAGAATTCGCGCTACTTTCTAAACCAATTAGAGACAAAACTTATCGTCACGTGGTCACATTCTCGTTTTCCCTGAGTTCTGCCAAACTGCTTTAAGAAATACTGTAGTGGTTACGTTTCCTACAACAGTTTTCTGTGAAAATATTCCCAAGAGTTGTAACTCCCGTGAAATCAGCTACGGCTATTCCCTGAATTTTGCCTTTGTTTGCTTTGCTGAAATCTTCACGGCTACACGCTCACCTTGGCGTCAATTCCTCCATGTTGCCTATGACCGAGTGCCTCAATCGGGTATTTCCCATCAGCTGGATTCAAGTCCGATCGAGAAGAGATGGCATTCTCTCCGCTGTAGGGTGGAGTGCAGTTACAACGAGCCAATGGATCGTGTTTGTAGTCATTATACCTTACAAAAAAAAATAATAATAAAAATTTTGAAAAGGAAAAACAACCTTGATAATTTTAAATTTCTACCTCTGTCTCACTCTCCCACCCCAAGCTATATGAACAGAAGACAATAGCAAGGCTTTGGGGACAGAACCAAACCTGAATGTAATCCTCGTTTACGTACATGTACAAACTAATTGTCCAACAAAATCAGAATGGAGTGAGTTAGTAAGTGGGTGAGTAAATTTTACTGCCATACCAAAACCTCATGGTATGACGTAAAAAACGAACAAAGTCAAAATGTCCAAATGTAACAGCCAGCAAAAGCAGGCGAACTAATAGCGACGGATCAGGAAGTTTACCTCAGTCACCTGGACCATACGCATTGATTTGGGCAATTTCATATGGATATACATGGCGATTTGTAGTAAAGTACACGAACCTCATAAGTTTCATCATGCTGTCTATATCAACAGCCTTGCTGTGATCACGTTTGAACATCTGTGCCCTTGGAGCTCCATCATAACTAAACCATGAGCCATACTTCTCATAGCTTTCTCTCGCTCCGCTCATGTTGTATATGTACGGGAAATAGCTAAAAAGAAAGAGAGCTTTGAGATTTCTTATATAAATATAAAAATTATTATATGCTTAAACAAGCATTTTTCGTCTGCAACTACAAGTCTTCGTTTTCAGGAAGAGAAGCAAAGTGTACGCGAACGCAAGAAACAGGGGTATTTTAGCGGGACAACGACATCTCAGTCCTCGTTAAACAATGAAGTCACCAAAACGCCAATGCAAAACACTTAATTCTGTTGCAATTAGAAATACCCAAGCCATACCAAGCTCAAGCCATACCAAGCTCAACCCACAGTTAGTGTCGTGACAAGCTAAAGTATCATTTCCTACAGTTTTTCTTGGATAAGGTTCAAGCACGTTTTCTAGTAATTTTAGTGCGCTTGTGTGCAGAAACGTGTATTGCATGTTCCAACCATATCCGCAGCTGTGGTCTTTTGCTTCCTGTCACGAATCACTCGTGGTAATTAAAGATTGTAATCATATTATATTCGGTCATTTTCATGTCGAAACAAGGTAACACAGTCAACGCTAAGGAAATAAGGGTCGTGCCTTGGATCACGAAGAAACAATAATGAATGTTTAACAGTTTAGGTTTGTGGTCAGATGTACGTATCTAGGGCGTTTACGTGTGATAACAAAAAAACTAGGGAACTTTGTAAAAAGAATGATTAGAAGGGTTGCGATAAGCGAAAGTATGACTGCAATAAAGTGAAGAAAACGACAGATACAGTCCTAAGTGTTTGTTGAACCAGCGAGCGCGGAGATATTCCTAACGCAGTGGAAAATTCCGCAAAAGTTAGTTTGAACGAATTGATTCAGTTTAACTCACGGTATATTGTAGCTAGCCCAGTATGTCTTCTCCTGCAAGAAGACAGACATATCTGCGAGTTCAACGATCCCTGGTAACTGCTCCAGTATCAACAGTGTTCCTGGAATGATCGGCCCACCCGGAGTGAACAGTTTATAATCAAGAACCATCCACTGAGAAAAAATAAAGAAAAGATAACAGTTGAAATATACTCAGTCAAAGAGGGAAAGAGCGCACTCAGGTAAACCAACACTTCNTGGAACACGCGCAAGGGATCAAGAAAGAGGTGCGGAGGTGCCAAATTGAGAAGTTAGAGGATGAGATCAGAAACCAACGGTGGCAAGGGCGTCTAGTGACTACTAGGCTGGAGGATGAGAGTTTGAGTGCCGATGGGTGTTTCTGGTGGCTCACAGAGTGGAAGAACTGCCCATCACACACAATTGCTGGACTCGTCGAGCTATACGAGCAGCTATTGCCAACGCGAGTATACACGAGTCAGAAGACCCACACAAGCGGAGAAGGCGAGATGAGGTGCAGATTATGCGGCAAGGCTCCAGAGAGTGTGGCACATATCTTGTCAGGATGCAGTGCACTGGCCCAGAGCAAGTATCTCTCTAGACACGACGCAGCACTGAAGGTACTGTTTTACCAACTGTTGTATGATGAGGGATTTATAGACGAGATACCACCCTGGTACTCACCCGACAAGCCGAAGCCCGTGTATGAGTCAGAGAATGTTAAAGCTTATTGGGATGTCCCTATATATGCTGATCAACAAGAGGTCAGATGCAATAGGGTGGATGCACGCATTGTAAATCATATGTGCAAGAGAGTTGTGACGCTGGAAATGAGCTGCCCGTGGGTTAACAATCGGACAAGAAAGGATGAAGAGAAGACACTGAAGTACGGACCCCTTCGCTGGGACCTAAGGTAGCAGTTCCCAGGCTACGAGGTGAAGCATAATGGATGCCCTCAGGGGGTGGTCAAGGGAGCTGGACGTCATGATGCGCGAGCTTGTGGGAGGCAGAAGCACAGACGTACTGCGAAAGATGCAGAGGGCAGTGCTCTCGGGCACGCTGAATATTGCCCGGACTTTCAAGGTGGCAGTTTGAGTTCCTGTTAGAAGGAGGACCGTAGACACGACGGAAAAGCTTTTTAGGATTAGTTAATGTACATTTATTTTTTACTCCATGGCTCACAGGTTACGGTTTTCGCCCTGTGCTGCCTGATTAGTATGTAGCATTCAGTTGATTTCTCTGCGATAATAATAATCTTTTCATAATCTTTAATAATAATTATGCACAAGTTAACGATAATGAGATGCCAAAGCCAGAGGCTTACATGGCGTAGGTCAGAGAGTTACAATCTGCTACTAAATTACAGTCATGAAATAAAAAGAAATATATATCTATATATATAAAATAAACACAAGATTTACGGAGAAAAGGCAAACAATTACAATAAAATATATAAAAATTCATTACTGCATATAAAGCAAAATAAACCTAAATAATGGTAGCGTGCAGAAAGTAATAATACTAAAAATAAATTTAAATTTGAGTTCAACTGTTTAAACTTATAATGATTGAAAATGATCTCTCAGTTTACGTTTATAACTGGAAAGAGTAAGTGAATTACGAAGTGGGAGAGGAATGTCATTCCAAATTTGAGTACCCGAAGAGAGAAAGAATATTTGTGAGTATGAAGATGTCAGTTATCTTTTTGCCTAGCGAGAGATTGATGACAGTCAGAGTTAAGAACAAAAAGAGATGAAAGAGGAGACTGGGCAAGAGCTTTTGCATGTGAAGGAAAACAAAGCAAGAAACTTGGTACTTATAAATATTAAATATGTTGAGTATTTTGAATTTGTTAAAGAGTGAGTAAGTATATGTGCACCTGGTGGAGAATGAGTAATGATTCTTAAAGCTTTCTCCTGGAGACGAAAGAGGGGTTGTATATGAGAAGAGTATGTGGAAGCCCAAATAATAGAACAGTACTGAAGATATGGGAGTAAATCCGGGAATCAATGCATCTGTAAACTTCTATTTAGAAAGGAGCGCACCGTCATACTTCATTTGCTGCCACTTTGCATAATAAGGCGCCCTCCACAGTCAGTTAATGCACTGGACAACTCGGTGCTATGTCATTATACCCCGACATGAACAGATGAACAGATGACGACGTCGACAAAAGTGTAGATGCATAGTTCTGGTCAGTAAATAAACTTAAGAGTTGTTCCGTAAACAATATGCATAATCTTAGACTAAGATGTTTCTCACTTACCTGATTGTTGTAGCTGTCCCATCAGTTTCCATGAAACAAACAGAAAATAATAAGAAAAATTTATGGATGAAATATTCTGCATAATAACATATTTGCAAGAAAATATATTTAAAAATGAAAACAAAATTAGATTATGACTAACAATATTTCTATCATATACATCTGCAGAGTGTGTTTTCAATACCATTTATAACATAACCAAAGTAAAGCGCGCGCTCTGATGGTCTATTTAGCGTCCCCCATTTGCCCATGGGTGTACGCTGCTGACGTGAGGAAATGCAAAGACTATTTTTCCGCGCGCGATTGTTTTTTCTGGTCACGTAAGATTTATTAAATAAAANAAATAATTAACAAATGGTAAACACCACAGCGTACACTATTGAGTTATGGATGCACGCGGGAGGTTGCTAAGCACGAAAGAAGCGTAAGAGTCGCTCGAGGCGATAGCCGAGAGCGACTCTAGCTTCTTGAGTGCTTAGCAAACCTCTCAAGTGCATCCATAACTCAATAGTGTACGCTGTGGTGTTTACCATTTGTTAAATGGCATTTTGCTCATCATCAGATCTTAATTACTTTGCTTAGATTACAAGATACAAATAATGAAATCATAAACACATTAAATAAATAAATCGCAATACATTCAGTGAACCAAGAAATTTCAGCAGACATACTGAAGGAAGTGACTCACGTTCCACTGTTGTGTGTTCCAAAAAAATACGTCCATTCAGCGGCTGTCCTTGCCAAACGATTGGCAACTAGTGTGCGCATCCATTCTAAAACAATTCCTTCTGCATATACATATTTCCACAGCTCTGGATTGCTGTTACCAATTGTAGTCTCCTGAGAGACCTGTGTGAGTAAAGGAATACTTGACAATCACTTGCCTTGAGCCAATAATTGGCAAACTTTTCTGGTGCAATCTACAGCTAAAAATAACCAAAAATGATTCATTGAACATACCATTCCACTGCTTAACAGGTAAAAATCATCTCCACTTGTCATAAGGCCAGGGTAAGAGGAGAAACTTGTTCTTCTTCCTGGAATAATTTCTCCTGTAAAATGAGTCAAACCAAGAATTTAGAAAAGCCCTCTTAAATCATTAACCTTTTTGTCCTTAATTTTTTCATTGAGCCAACTGCACCTCCACATCCCACTAGCCTCCACTTGTCTCAATTGAAAGGACTTAACCCTTTAACTTCCAAGATCTCATTTTTAACTCTCCCCTCTAGCCACTACAAATTTCCTTGTAAATTAGATACAATAATTTAATGTTAGATCAAGATAACAACTAACAGCTGATAAGTTCAAGTCTTCTTGTTACCTGTTTGCTGGATAATGTATGGATATTCTGGGGAGAGGTTACATGTTAATTACTTCTGGGAGTTAAAGCTCAAAACAGGTAATTGAGATACAAGTGGTTCTGCCTACAGATCCTTAATCTAGAAGAATTTCAGAGATACATTAAGTGACACAAATTCAAGAAAAACATTCACTTGAATAACCTGTGCCAACCTGTTTAAATTATACAGTAAATGGTGTGAACCCGGGGGTAACAAGTGTTATTGTTAAATACCTATACTCTCACTCAACAAAATAAGCATTGTGATTGGTTGATTCTTGGTCACATGCCCCTGATCAATTTCAAATGTATCCCAACCAGGATGCAATTGTGCAGTTGTTGCCCCTGCACCAAACACAACAGCATGTTTTTACCATAATTAATTATGATTGTTTAAGGGAAAGTCTAAATATATAACAAATCACTTAGTGTATGGTCTCTTGGGAAACTAGTTAGTTTTGTTTTCCCTCGAGTCATGATTTTTCCCTCAACATCATCACTGGAAACATCAGAACTCTCAACCATGCAAGCATGCATTAGGTGTATAGTCTAGTTTGATTGTCAGCTGAGGGTGAATGTAGACCTCAAAAGGACTGTTGTCTGTAGTAAGGACTGATGCTTTGACAACCCGAGCAGAAGACATCATAAGAGTCAAGTGATGATTATTTCTCCTAACATTAGTCACTACTACTGACAAAAATCCTACTCAGGACGTCACTCACCCAGATAATCAGACTACACTATCGTTTAAGTTTAAGTTTAAATTTAATTCATTCGCCACAGGAATGGCAGGAGAAAGGAACAGAACTTTCGTTCCAATTGACACCTAACCCGTTTATTACTCACCCATCCCACCCCGGGGAGGACATCCATCACACAGTAATCTCGTGTGTGGGAAATTAACATCTCCTACCCCAACCCTGCAGGAGACGGGACCTCCATTTATTGTCCCTATCCGAGAAGGCTAAAAAGTCTAACCATTTGCAGATATTATTACAAAGGCAGCAC